ATTCTACATTTGCAGGCGTCCAGTGTGCCTCTGGCGGACAATCCGCTTCAGCCCTCAATAATCCGAGAAGGCGTAGAGCTCCATCACCTAAGCAAACAGTGTTGTCAATGTCCTGGATCTGCTTCTTTGCTAACACAGACCGTTGCCCGCCTTCAGAGAACAGAATCATTCCATGCTGCGAATAAAAGCGTCCGATGTGGGTTTGCTTTTGCCATCTGTCATGGATCTCCATTTTGGAAGCACCGGCAACAGGCCCACTTGAGAGAGCATAGCCCAAATTCGCAGATCCAGCCTGCGCATTGCCGTAGACAAAGCGAGAATCCAGAAAAGGCACTTCGGCAGCTCGCAAGCTAAAGACCAAATCATTCAACCTGTCGGGAGCTCCCGGAGCCAGTGCGGCGTCAAGAGCTTGCTCACTCATTGCTGCGAGATATGGCTGCCAGCAATCTCCTTTCTTTCTGCCCAAACGAAGCTGTTTGTCCAATTTCGACCCATGCTTCGCAAAGCCTGGCAGTGCCCTGCGAAACGAGCCCATCAGCACCGACCTCCCCTTCCAAATCAGCAGTAATTAAGGGTTTAGGGTTTAGGGTTTAGGGTTTAGGGTTTACGGTCCCAAAGCCCTCCAGTAACCGTCACAATCAACCCTCAGAATAGCACTTGTAGTAACCCTTAGAATAACCCGTGTAGTAACCCCTAGAATAACCCTTGTAGGAAACTTTAGAATAACCCCTGTAGTCACCCCAATAGAATAACCCCCTTGTAGTAACCCTTCGAATAACCCATATAGTAAGGCTTAGAATAACCCTGTAGTAACCTCATTAGAAAAACTCCGCTTGTAGTAACCTTTATACTAACCCTTGTAGTAACCCTCAGAATAACCCCTTGTAGTAACCCCTAGAATAACCCCTGTAGGAACCCTTAGACTAACTCCTGTAGTGACCCCATTAGAACAACCCCTGTACTAAACCACAGGCACTAGAACAACCCGTTTTGGAACCCTTCAGCCAACCCAAAGACGTACCCAGAGAGCCCAATACCCCGTAATTAAGGAATATACCTTAAATTTTAAGGGGCTTCACCCTAAACCCTAAACCCTAAACCCTATTCTGGTTTAAGCTATATTCCTTATGAGGGGTATTGGGCTCGATATAAACCCGAGCATCTTCAGCGGGCTGTCCGGACCTCAGAAACAAGCAGAAGCGTCACAAAGTGCAGAGCTTGATTGAGGGAGTTTAAAGGTGTGTGGTTTAGAGTTTGGGGCTTAGGGTTTAGAGTTTAAGGGTTTTCTGAGCCTTTACTACTGTTGATGACATAAATCCTGCATTACCATAAGGGCCCTAAACTATGGGAACTATGGTATATTCCTTATTGAGGGTAATGCAGGATTTATATCATCAACCGTATTTCGGGAGTTGAAGGCTTCTTCCGAACTCCTTTTCGGCGATTGGCAGAAACTCGGGAGGCCCCTTCGGGCAAGAGGCTGGGTTGCTTTGTCCCCAGCTGAGCCTACAATGGCTCCTTCCAGGGTTCTTACAAAGGAGCCCGTATTTCAGGGAGTCGACACCCTGAACCCCTCAACTTCTAGATCGCTCTCGCTCGGATTGTCTGTTGACTGCTTGCGTAAACTCCTGAACCCCTACCCCTCAGCCCTTATACCCCAAAATCCTGAAAAGAGAATCTTGGGAATTAGGTTTAGTCTGGAGGTGGGCTGGGGATTCGTATGTGAAAGAGGCGTCTGCCATGGCTTCGGGCTTTTACGGTTTCGGGCTCAGGGCTTGGTGGTTAGATTTCAGGGCTTCGGTTTTGCAGTGGTGCCTTGGCATGTAGTACTGCGATGAGCGCGCGACTGCGACGCTGAAGGGCTTGAGAAACACCCAGAGAGCCCAACACCCCTTAGTTAAGGAATAGACCTTAAATTATAAGGGGCTTCATATTCTGACATAAGCTACGTTCCTGAGTTAACAGGGCCGGCGGCAGTTGCCACGGAAGAGATTGTCGTCGGTGGGGACACGAAAGGGGAAGTCAATGCAGCGCCCATCGTCCCTGGGGTTGCGATGTGCGGCTTCGGGAGCGCCAGGCTTCCGGGGGTTTAGGGTTTAGGGCTTAGGGTTTGTTGGACCCTAAACCCAAGAAACCCTAAACAGTCGGGTTTAGAGTTTAGGGTTTAGGGGTTTAGACTGTTTAGACTTTAGGATTCAGGGGATTAGACTTTAGGGTTTAGGGGTTTAGGGGTTCGGGATGCAAGCCTGGTGTACAAGGTTGCTCATTGCGAGCCTCGGGCCTTTTTTTTATGCCAAAGAACCCTAAGCCCTAAACCTCAAACCCTAAACCCCAAACCCTAAACCCTGTAAGCCCTATAAACCCTAAGCCCTAGAGCCAATAAGCCCTATAAGCCCTCAACCTACAGACGTTCTCCAAATCAGGGTTCCTTTTTAGGGAGCCAAACTAATATGGAACCCGAAGGAAAAGGGACGCTAAAGGGATCCTAACTTAGAGAACTACCCATATAGGGGAGCGATAGTCATTCTTGGAATAGGTTTGTTTTTCTTTTTCCCGAAAGCATCGCGAA